GGGGGGGTGGGGGGTGTGGGGGGGAATAGTTTCTTTCTATTAGAAAGGTTTGTTTTAGATAATGTCTTCTTATAGAAATATTTGTGTCATATGTTCATGTACAATTGGGATTGGGGTGGTTTGGAACATGAAGAGTATGACAAAACTCAAGGAAGCCAAGTGAAAGAGAAGGAGAAAGCACGCCACCAGACTGAAGCCTCCTCATGAAGTGGGACTATGGTCATTTAATCTGAGCCATGCCAAGTGCTGTCGTTTTATTATTTTCGTTTTCATGTGTGTGTGTGTGTTTTTGTATGTATGCATTCATATTACGATGTTTTTCTTGGGTGAATTTTTGAGTGTATCCATATTCTTGCTCTGATTTCTTATCTCGAGTCGTCTTCCAAGTTGAGCCCAGTAGACGTTTGCAGGATGCCACATCATATGTAATAAAGTTATTTTTAGCTCCAATTTGTTTAGTCTTATAATATAGAGCAATGTTATATGACCTAATTCAATAGTGTCATTGGATTAGTTGCGAATTTTAATATTAGACGAAGTTTATCACCAATTAGTTGGCATATTCCAATCTGACCATGCTTAGAACTTAATGCAAACTAGTATTTGTTGTTTGTATTTTTTTAATTATAACAAAATTATTTATTGAAATCTCTAATTTTTATCCTATAATTTAGAATAAAATTGTAATAACCAATAATAAAACAGTAACACATATGAAGTAATAAATAAAATTGACTCATTTGCAGAACATGAACTATAACCGAATATTAGATAGATCAAGATTATTGTTTGACATTATATCCGTAAGATAGATTTTACCTCTACACTTGGTGTCCGTAGAAAGCTAAGTGTTCACTTCCCAAGTTATAATGATCTTCACACACTTTGAAATTACATTCCAATTTAAATGCTCAGTGAACTAAAATTGCGTGTTGTACTCCTTAGATATGCATACTATTAATGCCAAAAATTATGAATGTAACGACTGTCTTAATGACTAAAAATGCAAGTACAGAATGATAAAGAATTTGAGTTATACGCAGGCATAGTTTCTGGTTCCCTAGTTTACGAGACACGTGTACTTTACAGAGATAACTTCAAAAAATATGTGGTTGAGATGAGAAATATGCGTAGAGACCACATGAAGTCACCCTATTCCCAAGTCAAAGGCAGCAATAAACGCTCAAACCTTCAACAAACTTACCCATATTTGCGTGTTCTTCTTGCATGGACAAACTGGAACACTATATATAAATCCTCACTGGTTCCGAGGTTTTCTATACATTTCAGAAAAGTTTGAAACAGTGCCATTTTTATACCTTTCAAAGAAAAAATGTCAAGTGCCCAGTTCAATGCAGGCCAAACCCATGGTCAGGCTCAGGTACAACTCTCTCCCATTGTTATATATGATTAATATCTGCATAGCTCTATATTTTTAAACCATAATCAGACCTGAAACGATGTCAAGTCGAATCTATCCAAGGAATAGACGAGTTCCGAAATTAGTCGATCCTCTAAGAATAAAGAGAGATTGTTTACCATTTACTTCTTTCTAATCCTATTATATAGGCGGAAAGTTTGTGATCTAAGAGCCCGGCCACGGCCTATTTTTAGTATTCCTTCAACTAGTCCCATAGGACGAAAAAGTTGGATATAAGTCCACTTTTCAAANACTAATAAAAAGTCTCATACTAATAAAAAGTTTCACATATAATCCCATGGATCATAATCTCAAATTCCCAAAAAAAAACACCAATAAAAAGTAAGAGCATAAAGAAAAACTAATTTGAATCTTCTTGACTAATAATTTTTTCAAATTCTCTCGATTCTAGATCATCGATTGAGAATTTGTGGATAACCCACTTGTATAAAATGGATCCAATATTGGGTGATCTAAAATAAAAGAATTGAGAAAATCTTGTGACGGAGATGATATTCAGAATTGATTAAACACAACTTTTCTCCCCACAAACTCTCCTGATCTAGTGCATAATTTCAAAATAACTTGAGTGAGGTTCCAAAAAAAAGGTATACCAAGTGGTACTCAAACCAATTTAAATCAATAATATAGAAAATAGTCCTAAATTTCACATGTAAAATTTTATTGTGTGGCTGCTTTACAAGTGCAAGCTTCTTGAAAGGCCTTTAGCAATTTTTGTGGGCTTATTCTTGTGACTCATGATTCTCATGCTTTGCCTTAATATGTCCACCTCTCTCTCCCTGTTGGATTCTTGTTGCTCCATTGCAGCCACTCTTGCTTGCAGAAGTTCAATGGTTTCTCCCTTGGCTTTCAATTCCCTATGTAGCTCCTCCATGATGTCTTCTTCCTCTCCTCTCCCGGACAACCCTTTTCCTACAAAACAAGTGAACATGATTTGTGTTTACAAAGGAAGGGTTCTTTCGACTTGTTTTGGGATAAGCTCGCTAATAAATTGAATTTTAATGTGAATTCAAATATCATTAGTTGGTTATAGATTACTGTTATTGATCGATTATCTAAATCCATTATGTCATATTTCATGAGCTTGAATTTAGATATATCATCATGTAAATTTATGATCAAATTGGGTAATTATTTAATGAAATTGAGATATAATTTAGTGAAATTACTCTCAATTGAGTAAGTTTGATCAAAATTGNACTTAGTTGAAATAGACAATTTCAAAAGTGAGAATTCACATCTGATCCTCCTATACTTGGCTAGAAGAGAAGAAAATAGAGGGAAAAAAAACGTGTTGTATATATACTCAAATTATGATAAGAAACTTTGCGTGAGAACCCATAAAGTTTACAATGCAATTTTGTGTTTGCTGCAGACAGGAGAGCAAGTGAGGAGCATGGCTCAAGGTGCCATTGATGGAGTGAAGAACACACTTGGAGTGGGGGAAAAGAAGTGAAAGAGAAACCATCTCTCTCTCATAGAATTTGATATTCTATTAAATTACTCTTTTCTTTTTCCTATTTTTTTTTGGGTTTTGTTAAACTTTTCCTATGCCTTATTGGGTATAGGTGAATTTGGCAAGTGATTTGAGAATTCCTTCAAGAGGACTCTCAAAAGGTATAATAAAAGCCTTAGCAATACAATGCTAGGGTGAGGTCCTATTGTAATGGTTTTCAACATTTTAGGTTTGATAGGGTTTTGATTCTGCCTACTAGGCTGGCTATTAGTGAAATTGCCCATTCAATTGAGATTTCTATGTATAGAAGTCTCATATTATGTAATAAAAGCATAATAATAATAATTTAATAGTTTGTACTTAATTTGTCTTTTACCATCCAATTGTTTTTAGCATTCTTTGCTTTAATTATCGCCAGTGTTAGGGCACATACCACCGAAATATATTAGGAGGTGTCCCNTACCATCCAATTGCTTTTAGCATTCTTTGCTTTAATTATCGCCAGTGTTAGGGCACATACCACCGAAATATNACCATCCAATTGTTTTTAGCATTCTTTGCTTTAATTATCGCCAGTGTTAGGGCACATACCACCGAAATATATTAGGAGGTGTCCCACTTAATCATAACAAATACTAATCTCAATTAAAAAGTTTCATTCCCAAAAAAGTTTCACATATAATCCCATACTAATAAAAAGTCTCATACTAATAAAAAGTTTCACATATAATCCCATGGATCATAANGTTCACATATAATCCCACACTAATAAAAAGTCTCATACTAATAAAAAGTTTCACATATAATCCCATGGATCATAATCTCAAATTCCCAAAAAAAAACACCAATAAAAAGTAAGAGCATAAAGAAAAACTAATTTGAATCTTCTTGACTAATAATTTTTTCAAATTCTCTCGATTCTAGATCATCGATTGAGAATTTGTGGATAACCCACTTGTATAAAATGGATCCAATATTGGGTGATCTAAAATAAAAGAATTGAGAAAATCTTGTGACGGAGATGATATTCAGAATTGATTAAACACAACTTTTCTCCCTACAAACTCTCCTGATCTAGTGCATAATTTCAAAATAACTTGGGGGAGGTTCCAAAAAAAAGGTATGCGAAGTGGTACTCAAACCAATTTAAATCAATAATATAGAAAATATTCCTAAATTTCACATGTAAAATTTTATTGTGTGGCTGCTTTACAAGTGCAAGCTTCTTGAAAGGCCTTTAGCAATTTTTGTGGGCTTATTCTTGTGACTCATGATTCTCATGCTTTGCCTTAATATGTCCACCTCTCTCTCCCTGTTGGATTCTTGTTGCTCCATTGCAGCCACTCTTGCTTGCAGAAGTTCAATGGTTTCTCCCTTGGCTTTCAATTCCCTATGTAGCTCCTCCATGATGTCTTCTTCCTCTCCTCTCCCGGACAACCCTTTTCCTACAAAACAAGTGAACATGATTTGTGTTTACAAAGGAAGGGTTCTTTCGACTTGTTTTTGGGATAAGCTCGTTAATAGATTGAATTTTAATGTGAATTTGAATATCATTAGTTGGTTATAGATTACTGTTATTGATCGATTATCTAAATCCATTATGTCATATTTCATGAGCTTGAATTTAGATATATCATCATGTAAATTTATGATCAAATTGGGTAATTATTTAATGAAATTGAGATATAATTTAGTGAAATTACTCTCAATTGAGTAAGTTTGATCAAAATTGAATTTTCATTTTTGATTTTCGGTTTTAATAGAATTGGATAACAATTATGAAAGCCTTGTTCATCAAACAATCGGCTGCGATTCAATTTTTAAGTTTGATTTGCATTTTGATTGGGCAAAATTCATTTAATTTTGAGACGTTGACAAGCCTAGTGTCATAATTATAAGAATATGGATGATAAATATGGAAATAATTTGATCCAACAGAGATAAAATATGCAGATAACAAGATCATGGGCTGTACTTGTACCTTGATTGGCCCTGAGAATAAGATTATCAAGCTCACTCTTGATTGCAAGATATAGCCTTTTCCACTTCTCCACAGTCTCATCTCTCCTCTCTCTCTCCTCTCTTATATGCTCCAACAAGTAGCCAGTCCCCAACAATTCCCACTCTTTGTCACTTTTTCCTCCTACCATCTCACCTTCCATCCCTCTTATCTTCTCTTCTCTCTCCTCCAACCCCTTCCTTAGTCTCTTCACCTCCTCTCTCAGCTTCTTCCTCTCTCTCTTCCACTCCGCTTCCTTCAGTGCAAAAACCATCATATCTTGCTCATAAGCCTGATTCTCACTCTCTCTCATGCCCATTATATCATCAATCTCCTTCTGTAGTACCCTTACCTTCTCTCTCAAGTCTTCAACATCTTTCTCACTAATTGCAGTGCTCCTATCCTTTGTTTGAGAATTACCCATCTTGATTCTTGCTTTCTTAGCTCATCAGGNAAAATTGAATTTTCATTTTTGATTTTCGGTTTTAATAGAATTGGATAACAATTATGAAAGCCTTGTTCATCAAACAATCGGCTGCGATTCAATTTTTAAGTTTGATTTGCATTTTGATTGGGCAAAATTCATTTAATTTTGAGACGTTGACAAGCCTAGTGTCATAATTATAAGAATATGGATGATAAATATGGAAATAATTTGATCCAACAGAGATAAAATATGCAGATAACAAGATCATGGGCTGTACTTGTACCTTGATTGGCCCTGAGAATAAGATTATCAAGCTCACTCTTGATTGCAAGATATAGCCTTTTCCACTTCTCCACAGTCTCATCTCTCCTCTCTCTCTCCTCTCTTATATGCTCCAACAAGTAGCCAGTCCCCAACAATTCCCACTCTTTGTCACTTTTTCCTCCTACCATCTCACCTTCCATCCCTCTTATCTTCTCTTCTCTCTCCTCCAACCCCTTCCTTAGTCTCTTCACCTCCTCTCTCAGCTTCTTCCTCTCTCTCTTCCACTCCGCTTCCTTCAGTGCAAAAACCATCATATCTTGCTCATAAGCCTGATTCTCACTCTCTCTCATGCCCATTATATCATCAATCTCCTTCTGTAGTACCCTTACCTTCTCTCTCAAGTCTTCAACATCTTTCTCACTAATTGCAGTGCTCCTATCCTTTGTTTGAGAATTACCCATCTTGATTCTTGCTTTCTTAGCTCATCAGGTGAGTGTGTGTGTGTGTGTGTGTATATATATATATATATATGGAGAGAGATAGAGAGAGAGAGGTTTTGGAATTGGGGGTGTTGTTTAGATCAGGAGGGAGGAGAGTGGATGACATAAATTCCGTGCAGAGGCTCCAGTAACTAAAAGGATATGAAGAGATGTCACTAACATTTGTACTGTAATGCCGGCTCCATCATTAACTTAATCATTAATGATACTGTCAAAGAGGCTCGTGAACAGGGTGGTTTTGCATACAAGTCTTGCAATTTGCAAAGATGTTGACATAATACATGTATATAAATTCTTGGGCAGATTCCATTTTTCAGCTCAAACACTATTCATACTTGATCTATCATCTGTCGATTGTAACAATTAAGTCCTTAAAGTTTGACGCATGTTTCAATCAAGTCCCTCAATTTAAATTTGTTAAAACATTACAATGGAAAAAGCTTACGCGTGGCCAATCTACGAGGGTATGGCCCTTTGCAATGTACGGAATTTGCATTCCTCTCCTTGCCTTTCTCGATGTCCTTCCTCTCCGTTTTTCCCTCTCATCCCATTTTTTGGGGATCAATAATGTTATAGTGACCAAATTTTGAAGATTGAATAAAAATTTAAAGTGATAAGAGAATTTGGTTAGGAAAGCAATAGATTATAGGGTGATAAAAATATTTTTTTTAAATTGAGTGGTAGTTACTTGATGAGCATAGGAGTGGCTACATAGGACATGTGGCAAATGATGATTGGATAAAATTTTGTGGTACAGTAATGGAAATTCATAGAAAGGAGAGATGGCTGGCACATCTCCCCCGATAGGGATGGGAACAACCTTCTAGCTTACCTATTACCAAACACTTCGGTTAAGGCTACCCACTTCGGTGAATTTTTCAACCTAATTTTTAGAAAATAAAAATGGAAATTTAAAAAAAAAAAAAAAAAGAAATAAAGGCAAAATTTGTCAGACCCTCTTACTCTTAAATTGATTACAATGACTTATTATCCTATAGATTACTTATATCAGTTACAGAACTGATTTGGTAACATGATCTAGGATTGTTTGAAAATAGGGTTAGGTCTTGTTTGACAATAAAGATTTATTTTGGCTAGAACAATGTTTAGACTAAGTTTAGCAACTAGATTTACATAAAATTCTCACATTCAAATTCATTTTAATACATTTTTTTTTTCAATTTTTTTCTTGGCACATCATCCACCATTAATGAGTGAGGGACCCACTTAAATGCATGATGAATGATGTGCCAATAGAAGAATTGAAAAAAAAGTGTACTTGAAAGAATCTCGACACCATTAAAAAAAAACTTTGAGGGTTTGGTAAAGCACAAGCCACGTGCAATTTTTTCATTATAAATTTTTAATAGATTTAGACGAAAAGACTTAACTAAAAACACGTATCAAGCGTATGACGATTAAAACATCGAGGACCAAATAGAATTGAGGAACATGAGAAATAGATATATATATATATATATATATTATGTAGGTGACATGCAAATTCATAGGAGCTTGGACTATGTTACATAATTAGGTTTGGCTATTTAATAAACCAACAAAATGCCAGCTTAACTTAGGTCCTACATTTCTTTTCGAATGGTCTTGTAACTTAGATGAGACTTCGAGCTAAAATTGGGCACTTTATAGGAAGAGTCATCGGAAATATTGGGAATTGGGTGTAACATGTCACTATTAGCACATAGTGAGTGGTAGAGCATAAACATGGCTTAAGGTGGCCATGGCCCCCCTAAATTTTTTGGAATTCCTATAGATATTTTGGTACTGTTAGCTAGAATTGTGTTATTATAGAAATTTGGCCCCCCCAATAGAAATATTCTATACATTGACAAAGATTATTTGTAGAATATATGTGTTGATTTCTGCGATATATTTAATAATAGAATATGTTATTTATTTTTATCACTAATATTGTCAAAAAATGCGATATTTGATTTTTTTTTTTTTCGTGAAGTTTGTCGAGATGGGTGTCTACCACTTAAGCATTGTTATTTTATTATTTCCCTGATTGTAAACATATGATATATTAATGTGTTTTCTTTTTCATATTTGAGTCAAGTATTAGTTCACAGTTGATTAATATCTTTTGTACTCATAGTTAGTGATCACCTCTAAATGTGCAGTTTCTTTGATTGTTTGTAGTAAGTAATTATATTATCTTGTTTAATATAAATTTGAATTTTTATTGGTCGAAATTTTTGTGCATTAGATTTGGCCTCCAAAAAATAAAATTCTAACTCCACCCCTGCTGCACATAGTGTAATTATCTAATGATAATTCAACAATTAG